GGACATTTTCTTTAAAAAAATGGCTTTGTTTTTCTGTTACAGTTGCCTTTAGGAGACTGTTCTAAAGGCATCTGTTCAATGATTCTGTCAGGTAACAACAATTTGCTTTAGTAAGTACAGACTACACAAAACTTGGCAGATAGCCTTCTTTCTCAGAGTATTAAAAAACTCAAAAACCTCAGACAGCCATTCTGAAGACTGTGCTATGATAAATGTAGAAAAAAGTATTTTTTTTCTAAAGTTAAGCATAAATATTGCAATAATATTGATATCTACCAATATTTTACATAAGAAGGAATTTTAATCTAATACCCATTTTTCTTCTTCTGTTGTTTGCAATAGTTCCCGTGAAAATGCAAACTCTCCATACGGAAAATCACTGGCAGCCATGGTAATATTTGCTGTGCTGCTGGATTCATTTATGAGTCCTCCGTCACTGATTCCAGTTAGTTGAAACTGGTAGTAACGCTTCTCCTCAGGACGGTTGTCATCTACAGCCTAGGGAGAAGAACCAAGGAAAGCTGAAAGGATTTAAACCATTTCCAGGGAGAGAGGTATAACTAATTTCTAACCAAGATACTAACTAGATAAAAGGAAGTACTTGAAATAGCTACTGGTGTAAAATCTCTCACATACCTGTATTAGAACAACTGCTGCAGACTGCTGATCTTGCATTGTCAACGTCCCTGATGTCTCAACAAATTCTGTGTGATGAGGAGGTGCTATATTCCAATTTATTATGACCTCACCAAAAATCCCTGGGCCGCGTATCAGGCTGCAGGTAAGAACACAAACACAGATTTTATTTTCTACCTTATTTAATATCCAGTCCAGAGACAGACAGTGTATCGTATTGTTATGCATGAAAGAAATTTCAGCACTGTGAAGCTTTAGTTTTAATGTACTAAATCACTATTAAGATCTTTACAATTCCCTCTTCAGAGCCATAACATTTCTGCAGTTCTGTTTTATTTCCCTGTGTCAGGAGTCATCTTGAGCTATATTTTTACCAAGAGGTCTTTGAAGATTCTTTGCACATACAGTCCAAAGGTGAGGGCTGAAAACTGAGCTCTCTTGGTCCCATTTTGCTTTTCCAGAGAGAGACAGGCAAAACAGAAGGGAAATGGGACTTAAGGGTAATGCCCAGAGGTGATTTGGTTTTTACGGCAAAAGGACTCTAGAATACTACTATGAGGTCACTTAAGAAATGTCTGCTACTTGTCTAAAAACCTAGAGCCTAATCCTACTCCTGTCACCAGTCTTGGTGATCTAAGTCATAGCAAAAATTTGTCTATAACTACATGATCTACAACTACTGCTGCACAATGCATCACTTTGTCTTTTGGGCTCTCAGGGCAGAATGAAAAGATGTTCCGTTGCTTATATTTGCTGAGTCACAAAGGGAGTGTCATAATCCCTTTTTCCAATGCTCTTGGAAGATATGGTAACATCTTCATTTCTTCATCGTGTTTTCAGTCATCTGAACGCAGTGAAATAATTGCATCCTGTTTCAACTGAAAACCCAGTTCCCACTTTGGTTATGTTAGCCATCACAGCAATATACTGAAATAGTTCAGGCAACAATCCTGAATGCAATCCTGAACAGCACAAAGTATCTTTGTGGTGAGACACTGGAACAGGTTGCCCAGGGAAGTTGCGGGTGCCCCATCACTGGAGGTATTCAAGACCAGGCTGGATGAGGCTTTGAGCAACCTGGTCTAGTGGGAGGTGTCCCTGCCCATGGCAGGGGGTTGTAACTTGATGATATTTAAGGTCCTTTCCAACCCAAACCATTCTATGATTCTATGATCTTCAGATGTCAATGATTCTCTTCCCCCCTTCCTTTGATTAGCATCTTCTTTCCTTCAATGCATCAACATCGTAAATAGCTTGAAGACTGAGAAATATTTGGAGCTCCCCAGTAATACTGAAAAGAGATATACATAGTATATTCTGCCCTTCTTTAAACAAAAGCATTTAATTTTAAAAATAGTTCTGATTTTAGAAGAGAGAATGAAATGCAGCACTCAATAAATTCTTGCCAAATGTGGAGTCTCATAGCTTTTGAAACTGAGCTGTTGTCCTTCCTTTGGAAAAATAAATTATGTACCCACCTAATAACAGCAGTTCCGTTATAGTTTCCGGAAGGTTCTCCAATCAGAACCTGCTTGGAAGAATGGGCTATCCCAACCATCCCAGAAGCTCCTTCATCGCCCAAAATAATGATGGTTGCCACACCTATGAAGAGAACAAAGCTTGTCATGGTAAAAGAAAACTAACTAATGAGCTAACTTTTGTAAATTTTTTGAAATGAGTGATTAAGCATTGGCTTCCCAGAGAGTCCATGGAATCCTCATCCTTGGAGATATTCTGAGTTTGAGTGGACAAGACACTCAGCAACCTGATATAACCGTGAAGTCTCCTGATGCTTGAGCATGGTTTTCAACTCAAAGATCCCCTTGGATGGTGCCTTACAAATGAAATTACTCTATGACTCTTACAGGCCTGAACCTGGTTTTTGGGTTTTGCTTCTTTTTGTTAAAGAATTCTTTCCAGGCAATGCTAACTATCTGAACACAAATCTCTACACCAACAATTAATTTAGAATGAAATATTATGATCTGAAATCCTCTTTGATTCTTCAGACAAGGAAAAAATCTAGGCATAAAAACTGACAGTCAAAATTGCTACCAAATAGCTGCACACAAAATATATTAGCACTGCAGACTAAAATAATATGAGCAGACTCACTGGAATTCTCATACAAAGTGTCTCAAAATAGAATGTAATGGTTTAATTCTTTACCATTTACGGGGGATATCTCTGCATCACCAGTAGAGACTAGCCGGATGGTAAATGTTTCCTTCCCCTCCAGCAGACCATCTTGTACTGCATGTAAAACAACCAGCTTCTGGGATTCAGTCTGCATCATGTAAAGACCAGAAAATATATATACTCACATTAAACAAAACTAAACAAAATATATTATAAAAAAAGGTTTTTTTTCTTTAACAAATCAAGGGCTAAGCATGCATATGCTTGATATATTCTGTAATATTTTTTAAATCTGACATTTCTGATTTAGCTGAAATGTTGTTAAAAGTGCCTCTCAAACATTGTGTGCCACCCAAAAAATACCATGGGTATTTTCAACTGAATAACAATTCAAATTGCTTTTAAATTGTATTCACACAGAAGTTTTCAACTTAGAGGAAACTTTCTATAGAAAATCTTTTCTATCAGAAAGTGGATATTCAATAGGATACATACCTTCTAAGGAATAACATTATTAAGATTAGATACATTAGGTCATAGCAAATTCCTGTCTCAGCCATGTTGATCAGTGGGCAGTAGTAAATGTTTAAAATAAGAACAGAGGGAAACTATAGGTATACATTGTATAACTTTAGTACACCATATATACATACATATATTCTTACATGTATGCATATATAAGAACTTCAGGAAGAAAAGCAATGTCCAGGCCTATTAGCAGAGAAGATATAGCAAATTAATAGCAAAACTTTAGCAAATACTGTTGTTTTTACAGAAAAAGCTATTTTCCAGCTGTTTAGAAGTAAAAGAAACAACTAATATGCCTATTTAATGAATGCAAAATAGCCTTGTACAGGCAGAACAGATTATGTTTTAGGTTAAAACACTTTTCTTCATTAAGTATCTTGAGTAGACTGTAAAAGGCCAATATTAAGATAACAACAATAGCTTGACAATATCTAATGTTTTGGCTCCTACTTCAGACTTTTAACCTGCCATGAAACACAAGCCAAATATCACTCTCCAATTTTGAAAGTTGCTAGGGTGTTTTACTATTTTTTTTTTAATCTGTAAATTTTGAGCAGTCATTTCCCCTTCTCACCCTCTCAATAACATTTTCGCTTTCAATTGTTTGATACCACAATGGAATAAATGTTTTTGTAATCATTCCTCACATCCAGTACGTTTTTGCTCCTTTTTCTTAGTTGTAAAAACAATTCATATTTGAAGAGCCTATCTTCCTGACGACTACATTATGTTGCCTTTAAAAGAGCATGTCAGCTTTCATTTTCTGTTCAAAAAAACTACTTACTGCTAAGCCCACCCGTTCAAGCTGTCCTTTTCCTAGTGTTGTAATACTTAGTAATCCCTTACTTTTATAAACACATAACACCATACAAATACATAGAAGCAGAAAGCATTTATAAATCTAGTATTAAATATTTATTGCAATATCAGAAATACCTCATTGAAGTAAAGGGTACCATTCAGAGGGGTCAGATCATGTCTGGCTGCTTCCTCAAGAATCCATAACACATTAACTGCTCCTCGTCCTCCTTGACTTCGATTTACAGTGAGCAACACCACTGCAGCAGGGTCATCAGGTGTCTGAGGTTCCTTCACTGTCACCTGATGAAGAAAGAGGAAGAGGAAGTAGGAAAGGCACCGATACTGACTTGAGATAAACAACAAAAAACATTATCGGTGACAGTGTAAAACAAGGACAAGTGAAAATCAATAGGAAGATAATGGATGTAAGGAATGCCTTAAATTCTGCTAGCAAAGATTAGTCACTCATGTTATTTCTGTATGCCCTATGATTCAAAACAATCACGGACAATGAGTCACAAGCAGGCACAGCACCAGCAAATGGAGAGCACAAGAATCACTCACTGACAAGAACTAAGATGAGATAGGTTTAATAATTTCTTTCCAAACTTTACTTTCAGTAACACAGATTATTATAAAACCATTTTAATATTCAACAGATTACCAAAAATCCTACCTGGGATATCCTGAATTGTTAGTATACTGAATTAAACTGATTCAGTCATGCAGAAATCTGTATCTATGGTGCAGCACTTTTATTGTTATTACCATCCTACACAGCTAGAAGAAGGCAGGCACTAATACACCTTTCAGTGAAAGAATAATGTCTTCCACTGCAGCGAAGGCTTACTAAAAATGGTCATGTATTAGTGACACAAATCCACTACCCATCTTTTGCACAAAAGAGCACAGTCTAAATCAAACTCACATTCTTTTCTTCAAACCCGAATACTCCAACGGGGGAATCATTTGGTGGAATAGCGACAGTTACCAGGATGTCGTCCCCAAGCCTTGCACCACCTGTTACCCTCACCAGGGCAACCCTGAATATCTCAAGCAATTCAACTTCATTGTCATCTATGATTGTAATTTCTATTTCTCCTGTAGCCTGTAGAAATTGTTTTTAAAAAAAAAAAAAAAAAACAACAAACAAAGTTTCATTTATAACATTCTGTGAATTGTTTGAAAAAATCTGAAATTTAAAATAGGTACATTTTAACTAATAATAGACAAATACACATTGTTCAGTTGTGCTTATTTACTACTGTACTTGTTTATTTACAATAAGATAACAACATTGCAAGAAGACATTTAAGCCCATCACCATAAATCTTCTGTTAAAATCAGCAGACTGTTCTGCTTTGGTAGTCAGCACAATGTGTAGGTAGACAAAGTGCAGGTGTATTTTAGCCAAAATTCTGCTCACAGATTATATCCTTTTATTTGCCAAAGAGCAGTTCTGTTCACTTGAAATCAATCCCTCTTGTGTACACTAAGTATTGCCAGAGGCAGCATGAAATTTAAAACTACATGTGGAATACAGCTAAGAAAACCTACAGGCTGAGAATTTATAGACACGACAGGTTAGGTTACAAATTTTCAGTATAACAGGCTTTATTATTAGAAATTATGCCTTCACTTGGGGAGGTACCAGATGCATATAACCATATCTGGTCGATGCTTATGAAAAATCTGCTCTTCCACGTTAAAGAACTGAAGTCAGGAGCATCATTCGCACATATAAGGCCACAAATAAAATGTTTTCAATTAAGAGGGGCAAATTCTGCTGGAAGCAAACATGAGAACTCTTCAGCTGGTAACTCAGAGACAGTTAAACTTACAGCAAGTGCATACCTGCCCATCTGAAAATGTAAGGTTTCCAAATGATGGTGTGAAGTCTTCAAAGCTAGCAGTTGAATGAATGGCTTCCCAATACAGAGTTGCTGATCCAAACTTCCCATCCTGTCGGACAACTGGAAGTTTCAGTATATTCTGTGGTGGTGGTACCTCATAACCAGCAACAGCTCCAGTCATATCCTATAAATTCAATAAGAAACTGCTGAGTGTCACAGCAATCCAACATTTTTTTTTTTTTTTTTTTTTTTTTAAATGCATATTTACCTGCAGGTAAAAAGAAATGAAGAAATACATGATCACTTGTAAACTGGTCTGAATTTGGCACTGACCTTGCTCTGAGCAAAAATCTGGATTAGAAGATCTCCTGAGGTCCCTTTCAGAATATTCAATGACATTGGTTTTAGCACTTCCAGCTTCCTAATAAACACTATATATTAATTATGAAGAAATTTCTAAGAAGGAACTGTTTGTCTGGCATCTGGCCTATGTATACAGAACAATTTACTGTCATAAAGCCTACTAGAACTCTATCAAAACTGGTCTGAAAACACAGACTCCCCTGCTGGAATGCTACTTTAAATATTTTTCATTCAGACTTACCCTTGTAACACTGAAAGTAAATATTCCTCTGGCATCATCATTTTCTTCAATTGTTATTTCAGCTATTTCTAACCCAAGCCTTTTCACACTTGGCTGACCTCCAGTAGAAGAATCGACCAATTGCACATCAGTAATATTGATTATAAATCCTTCTTGTAATTCTGGAACATTGTCCTGCAAAAATATTTTTAAATGTCACATTTTTAATAAAACACTGTAAGTTATAACACATGCAGAAAGCTGACTACTTGTAGGTTGCTTACTGTTCACTGGGGACCATATGACCATTCCCTTGCTTCACACCATATTAAAGGTGAAAGGGAATACCTTCGGTGAGTTTTAGAAACTGAAGTTGGCAGTCAGATTCCAGATCTGAAAGAACTGGGGAAACTATTGCTGGCTGCCACTTGTTTCTCCTATCTGTAAGAAAGGTGCCTAGATTTCAGAAACTAAGACAGAACTTGGAAAGCAATGCATCCATTTTAATATATTTAAAGAATACACATATTTTTTGGCAAAAAAATAACATTTCCTGAACCACAGAACAAATCTGTTATGAGGCATACAAAGTAAAATATTTTTTGTCATAATGATACTTTAATTTGGGGATTAAAACAAAACAAAGACATTGGTTCACTCTCAGTGATGAGTACTTGAATTCTTTCGAAAGGTAGACACAACCCTTGCTAACATAAAATCATCTGATGAGGCAAGAATACAACTTTAGCCACTTCTAGAATGCTAAATCCTTCCGGTATGAAAGCAGTATCACCTTCCCTTTCCTTAAAAGACATTATTGGCTAAAGTTGTTGTTGGACTACTCACAGGCAAAATAGTGACTACGACAGAAGTTATTGTTGTGTTCTCTGCCATAATGATCGTCTTCTTTTCCAGTATATAATCCTCATTCTCTGTTGCTTGGTTGGAGAGGGGGAGTTCAAAGTTAGGCATGGTGCTCAGCTGAACTGCAATCTCTCCGACAAATCCTTGTTCTCGAACAATTTGTAAAGTCAGGGTAGTTGAATTCACTTGCCCTGTAACAAGAAGGGGAAAAAAAACAAGACATGATTGCTTTAACCTTTGCTTTGCTTCATTTTCAGCTCACTTAATTGTATTGGAGCTTGATCTAGAGGAAGAATAAAATATGAAATATTTACAGCTTTAAATGTTTGTTACACAAACTGTTATTTCAACATTGCCATTTTTATTCAGTTTTCCTTCAAAATTCCATTCTCACTATTTCACCTGGCCTTTACCTGCCTACTACTTCCTATGTAAGAAACCTACAGAATCCCTTCACAATGCTTTCAGGTGCTAAAAGAAGGGCTACACTAATTCACTTTAAAAAAGAACTGGTGAGGAGGTTTTATCTGCAATAATGTTCTGATAGAATACGTACTTTTCATAAATTGTATTTGTTAATATGGGCAGATTATTAAATAGCCAGGAAATTTAAACTGGGCTTTTGAAGTATGAATAGCCCATCTTCCCCTTTCTTCCAGCCACCTGCTGGAAAACCATCAGTCTGTAAAGAATTACAGAGCAATCAGCCGGCCAGGTTCCTGGTCCAGTGGGATGGGAAGGAGCCTGGGCACTGCGGCAGTCCTCCTCTGGCCAACTGCCTAGCAGATCCTTTAAAATTTCACTTGGTGGCTGGAAGAAAAACTGACATAACCCAATAAATGAGCCAATTCAGTTTTCTTGAAATGGAATTCACTCTTGCTCTGCTTCCTTCCTTCCCCTATCCCACAGAACAAAATGCTTCCTTTTTTGACCTAATTAATGAGGAAAGTCTTTCTCTGTAAATTATTTTAAACAGTATATTAATCCCATTAAATGGGCAACTTAATCTTTTTATCTAAATAGAAGTATTTTACGTAGTAGTGATTTTCAACACAAGATGACAAGATTTTAATAACTTATCTCCTGAAAAAAATGGATGTTGATATATGCAATGTGAAATACATACATAAAATCTATGTAGTAAAATAGCATAGACACATATTTTAAAGGATACTTCTGCTACAAATTTTTCATTGAAAAATGTTGATAGATAAATTTAAATAAAAATATTTATTATATATATG